TCTCATTCTCAGTAAGTTGAACACATACAATGGAGTATTTTATTAGTCTTTATTCTTGATAAGCATCAGATTCATCTCAGCTCACTTGAGTTGCCTTTTTGCTGCTGGAACTTAGTATGTGCACCTTTGAAGCATTGTAGTGTGCTAATGTCTCATTTGCTGTCACTCCCTTCTAATGAGGGCTACATGCTATCAGCCTTATTATAGTGTGCAACTATGGGTCTTTCTCCAGTTAACCCTGCTAGACAGGATGTTGCTGGGATTTTGGGATGCAAGGATCCTAAAAATGCTGGAACACAGCTATAAAATTCCTACAGGGCACTGTAGCTTTGGACCTCAATGAGGACGGATGGAAATATTAAGCTTCATGGTGGTTGCTCTCGTCAACCTAGTCATGGAATCGGTGCCCAAATGGGTTTTCTACAGGAATTTCTGGCACATCGATGTGCAAAGGTTTCATGTTTGAAGAGCAAACTCGAGGTACTGTTGAAACACTATACTAAAGTTGAAAAAGGCATCAGAATGATTGTTATGACATGAGAAAGTAATATAAAATGGGTTTCAAGACCCTAAAAAACCTGTTAAATGTACTGGGGGATCCATGGGGTCTTGATGGTGCTGCAAAGTGGATACAATAAACCCGAGCATTTAAATGCATGTATAATATGTGCCATCAAAATCAAGAAAAAAGCAGCCCAGGGATGAATGGAGAAAAGGAACTGGGCCCTGACAAAGCAACTGAGCATTAACACTCCAGTGCTCCCCTTCACTCCACATTATGTGCCCATTCCTGTTTTATTGTTCATATCAAACTGCATTCTTGCAGGCCGTGCATCTGGGACTGCAAAATAGAGGGCTGGATGGAGATAAGAAACTCCCCATCCCTCATTTCCATTAACATTTTGTCTCAAGTTCAATGCAATTTCTGTGTGGGGTAAGCAGATCTTTCCCCCCTAGGACTGAAGTGTCTTCAAATCTGAAAATTTTCATGCAAATGGTCTATCCAATTGTGCACCGCCTAGAATTTTGTTATCAGGTTTCACCATAAACTTAGGCAGAGCTTATTTTCTTGGTAAGGTCAAAGAACATCTTAAAACCAGCCAACACTGTGATGCTCATAGGAACTCAATTCCATTGGGTTGCAAAGTCCCCACACCATTGGCAAACTAGTTTTGATCCAAACACTATTTGTGCTCTCACCTTCCATAAAAATAGCTAATTAATCAAAAATTCAACTCCATTCATGACTTGAATCACTTTTTAAGTCTGCCAATCTTATAAATACTACCAAAAATTTTTTTTCCAGATTTGAAGCTCCTTTCTAGTCACACTCGAAAAACCAAAATGTGCTCATTGAGGGTTGCACTGGCAGGAAAGCCTCAGCACCCAAAAAAAAAAAAGATGTGTCCTAACCCCAGTGAAGTGTTATGCAGGTGTGAACCTAAAGGTCATGGATTTTACATGTATTTTCAAGGCTTTGAGAGTAACATCCATCAACAGGAACCACAGGTCATTATGGGAGATCTCTTTATGATGTATTTGAAGTTTGTCATTTCCATCAAAACCCCAATTTTGCCCAAATTATGCACTTCTATTACAAATGAAAGGTTTGTCCCTCTGTTGTTCATTATCTTCAGGGGAATGTATCAATTCATTCATGAAACCAAATTTTGCTCACTCAACCTTTTATCAACAATTATTGATAAAAGGAAGATGAACTAAAGACAACTGGAAAGTAAGAAATCCCACCAAAAAAATTAAAGCAACATGGATAGAAAAAAATGCTTGGAAGTCATGAGTCCAAAAGACACAGAGCATTCTCGTAGGGTCATCACTTCAAAGCATTCTCACTATCTGGCTTCCTTTTTGGTCACAGTGGTGATAGCAGTACGACATTCAGTGGAGATCATCCAACTGTCCCTCTTCCTCCTCCTCCAAGAATGCTTCTTCATCGTCAGCTGTAGCATCCTGCACAACCACCAAACTCGATTCCAGTCTCAAAAACAGCACTTAAAATTGAGGATAAAAGGAGTTCATACCTGATACTGCTGGTATTCTGACACCAAGTCATTCATGTTTGACTCTGCTTCAGTGAATTCCATTTCGTCCATGCCTTCACCAGTGTACCAATGCAAGAAAGCCTTTCGCCTGAACATGGCAGTGAATTGCTCTGATATTCTCTTGAAGATCTCCTGAATGGCAGTGGTATTCCCAATGAACGTGGCGGACATCTTGAGTCCGCGGGGAGGAATGTCGCACACGGCAACCTTCACGTTGTTCGGGATCCATTCCACGAAGTAGCTGCGCAAAAACAAGAATACATGAAACACTTTGCAAATTGAATCACAGGGAAATGAAGAGAGCCAAACACACCTTGAGTTCTTATTCTGGACGTTGAGCATCTGCTCATCAACCTCCTTCATGGACATTCGACCCCTGAATATAGCAGCCACTGTGAGATACCTTCCATGACGAGGATCACAGGCTGCCATCATATTCTTTGCATCAAACATCTGCACGATATGAATCAGATTCAAAATTCAGTAAAAGTCAAATGAAATATTTCTGAGGCAGAGTGTCAGATTGTGGACCTGCTGTGTGAGCTCAGGGACAGTGACAGCACGATATTGTTGAGATCCTCGAGCTGTGAGCGGCGCAAAGCCTGGCATGAAGAAGTGGAGTCGTGGGAAGGGAACCATGTTCACGGCCAATTTCCGGAGATCTGCATTCAGCTGACCAGGGAACCTCAAGCATGTTGTCACACCACTCATGGTAATCTGGAACAGTAATAAGTATTTTAGTTTCATCCTGTTTGTGTGACTCAAAATGATCAACTGAAACCATCAACGGAAATGCGAATACTTTTTCTTGGAAATAAGTTCAAAGTCAGACATTTTTCTAATTAACCCCACATTAAATCCATATGCTTCATTTCATTACGAGCTTATCACACAAAATTTACTTCCCCCATAAATCTTTCAACAAAATCCCTTGGGGCTTTCAACAAATCGGCTCTTTTCCTCATTTTAAGAAATATAGCCTCTTCGTTGCTCCAACCCAAATGATTATTCTTTCCCCCCCCCAACCCCCCCCCAAAGAAAAAGCAAGCGAGGGGAAGAGGGGGTGTTTCGGTTGGAGACTCCAGAACCAAGGACTGTGCTTCCTCCCAAAAGCTCTGTCCACTGCCTCGACTCTTCTGGAGACTCACGGAGACCAAACTATTGAGATCCATGTACGACGGCGACTGGAGCTTCAGGATCCGGAAGCAGATGTCATAAAGCGCCTCGTTGTCGATGCAGAACGTCTCGTCGCTGTTCTCGATCAGCTGGTGCACCGCCAGGACGGCGTTGTACGGCTCGACCACCACCTCAGACACCTAGAAACGGCGGGAATGTAGGAAAAAGGAAAACAGCAAACGGGAGGCTTACAGACACGAGGTGATTCAGGTCCCCATAGGTGGGAGAGGTGAGCTTCAGAGTCCGGAAGCAGATGTCATACAGTGCTTCGTTGTCTATACAGAAGGTTTCGTCCGTGTTTTCCACGAGCTGGTGCACGGAGAGGGTGGCGTTGTAGGGCTCCACAACCGTGTCCGACACCTAAATATGCACAGACAGAGATAGGGAAAGCGAAAAAGGGAAAAAAAAAGTGCGGCGTGTCCGTGCGATGCAGCATGCTCGAACAATTTCCGTTCTTACTCAAGATCCTGGAAATCCGTGCTCGCGGTCATTACGGATCTGTGAAATTCCGAGAGGAACTGTGGGAATTAATAGGACGATGACCGGAATGCCCCTACTCTGTGAGAGCTTGGCCGAAAACAAGCGTGGCGAAAATCGATCCCTCGCCCCTCTGTAGCCCCCACGTTTTGGTGAGAAAAAGCTGCAGAACCCCCCCCCCCCCCTTCTCCGGTTCCTAGCCGCATCTAGCGAGTAAGGTTACAAGTTATAACCGAGCTATACTTCCTCCTTTTCCGTTCCTTCTTCGCTAAATCCACACTGGCAAGTTTCCAGTGCCAGGTCGGAGACGACGGGATATTTGGGAAAAAAAACACCGCGAGGAGGAGTGAGAAGAGAGAGGGGGGAAACGCTAGCACGTGCCCTGTTTTCCATACAGGAAGGGGAAGCCATGCAAGAAGCTCAGCCGCTCCCAGGATCATACCTATTCACACCACAGTCCCACTCCATTCACACCCAGCCGATGACCATCGAGCAAGAAATTAGAAGAAAAAAAAATCGTCCAAAGGGACTCCCTGACCCGACCCGTATCGGCAACGTCTCTTCCTCACCTTAGGCGAAGGAACAACAGAGAAAGTGTTCATGATCCTATCCGGGTACTCCTCTCGGATCTTCGAGATGAGCAACGTCCCCATCCCCGACCCCGTGCCACCTCCCAGGGAATGCGCCAGCTGGAACCCCTACGAGACGCAACAAGCCATTCATCCTCCCTGCCATCCCTCCCCGTCGAAATTCAACCAGACGAACTCTGACCTGCAGGCAGTCGCAGGACTCTGCCTCCTTGCGGACGACGTCCAGGACGGCATCGACGAGCTCCGCCCCCTCGGTGTAATGCCCCTTCGCCCAGTTGTTCCCTGACGGATCGACACACGGATGAATGCGAGGGGGGAAGGTGATTAAGTACCGTGACCGTGCCCGGAAGCCAAGCGTGACAAAAAGTCACACAAGAAAACGGGAGGATCATCTCTTCTAGTCTCGAAGCATCATTACGCCTTAGGGGGAAAAAGTCGAGCTTCAGCTGGTGGTGGGAAAGGAAATCCCCATTATCCTGTCCCAAGCCACTTCCTAAGGACGTCTACTGTGTAAAATGAGGGAAAAGAAGAAAAAAAATATGGACATCCTTTTTTCGATCTGCCCGACCATCTTCGCGATGCAAGGGAACCATCGACATTTCCCCCCTCCTGTACATTCCTCGTCTAAATCGGCACCTATCACGCAAAGACCGGCATTAACGTTCCGAGTCACCGTGACTTCGCAATCTGGATAGTCTCAACGTCTCCCCTCGCTTGGCTTCTCGTAGACGACAGGTAACAGCCCGTTCCGATACGAGGCCTTGAAATGCTCGATAAGATAAGCTGAGACGAGGAGTTTGCAGGGGGATCGAATCCGGTCCTGAAAAAATGTGCCGAACTTCCAGGTACTCGCTATCTCTTAACGGACGATTATCAACGGCTTCCTGTCGTTTGAAAAAAAATAAGAAGTGCTCATAATGGTCTTTTTACGACAGGGGCGGATGATTCAGGCCTAAAGGATTTCGAGTGCGCGAGAAGCGGCGTGAAGGCGGACGGGCCGGAGTCGTTGCCTGGAACGAGAAGATAAGGGGCAAAGCAGGAAACCAGGCCCGACCTTGACACGGCTCCATACCAAAGAAGGGGAATGGGGCGGCCCGAAAAAAAATCCAATGCAACGAGGCCTTGACGCTACATTGACTCATTCCCCACGGTGATTCACGCTTACCCGCTCCGCTCTGCCCGAATACGAAGTTGTCCGGACGAAATAACTGCCCGAAGACTCCAGACCTGACGGAGTCCATCGTCCCGGGCTCGAGATCCACCAGTATGGCCCTGGGCACGTACTTTCCTCCTGGCGGGGGGAAAAGGAAACGACGTCTTTTCATGGGATGAATGGCGGGGGGAAAGGGAGGGCAGATGCGGACGTGTCCCCTCACCCTGGGCTTCGTGGTAGTAGACGTTGATGCGCTCCAGCTGCAGGTCCGAGTCGCCGTGGTAGGTTCCCGTCGGGTCGATTCCATGCTCGTCGGATATCACCTCCCAAAACTAATTAAGCAGAATGCAATAAAAAAGGGTTTGAAAAAGGGGTGAGAGGGGGCCGTTCACAGGGCCCAGACATAACGAACATCCTTGAAAGCGGCGAGCGGCCTCTCGGTCTCATGGACGGAGCCTTAATCTCATCCCTCCGCCGAGAGACGGATCGATAAGAGGGCCGAGCGAGCTAAGCTTCCTCCAGACTTTCTATTCATTTTTCCATATTCCATTTTTCTATTCAGTTTTCCATTCAGAATTCCTTTCTTGTTACTTCACCAAAGTTACTCCTCTGCTAGGGCTCCCTTCGCCGGAGACGAAGGGAGCACTTACAATGCCGGTTGGCCTAGGCCTTCGCAACATACACAAAGGTCTCGACGTGCGGCTGACTAAAACACAGGCTGTTTGGCTTGGAAACGATGAATCGGTCGCTCGCCGTCTCTCTCTTTGCTAGGCCTAAGGTGGCTAGTTATTCGAGACTCGACTAGCGTCAGGCCCCCTCAGTCACAAAGTAGTGGTTATAGCATGCGAATCGGAAGAGATGAAATCGAGGCCAGGCCTACGACATACCTTGGATCCAATCTGATTGCCGCATTGGCCAGCTTGCAAGTGAACGATCTCACGCATTTTCAGAAGAAACGAGACAGCAGATAAAAACAGACACTCCACAGCACGAGTCAGGCAGAGTCTGAAATAGGCAAGGGGAATGACGATGCGACTGTCTGGCCTACTGCGTCTTGGCGGGCGACCGGTGCTCCCCTCTCCCCCATAAATCTTTCAACAAAATCCCTTGGGCTTTCAACAGATCGGCAAGGAGCTCACCTACGAACGAGGGACCTACTCGGACCGAAATCCCCCAGACAAAAACAAGTTCTTGCCTGAAGCTCTCATGAGAGGAAGAAGGCCGGAGCGACTATGTGGTAACACGTATGTTGAAACTGAAGCCGGATCGCGTCACTACCATATCGAAACGAGTACCCAGGGACGCACCGACGTAGCATCTCACCGCGGCACAGGAAATGAGAACTACGAAGGCTAAGGAAAGAATCGGAATGATTCGGCATTAAAGGACTCGACCGAGGAACGCATCTGAATTCAGCAGAATGACAATCTCATCCCAAGAAACGAGGAGGTCGGGGCGAAGATGGCTCCACCCAGCAACAGAAAGAATCTGCCGAGGAAGCCGTCCTCGAATGGATCCCAGCATCTCGATGGCGTTTACAGATGATCAGGGGCATCTGTAGGGAGCGAGGAACTGGCTCCTCCTTCGAACGATTCAATCCATGCAGCACTTGACAGGTCATCCCGAGCTCCATAAGCCGCTCACGATGCCCTAAGACCGTGCAGCGGCGTGCCGAGGATTCTCGTCAGGTGGGGCCAGCCCAGCCCCGATGACTGCACCTTCTGCGAGGCGAGAATAGGCGAGGATTTCATTTTTTTTTTTCGCTGGGAGGAGCGGTAAGTGATTATGAGGGGGCAACTGCTGACGAGAGGATGGGTGCCAAGGGAGTGAGACACGGGTGCGGAAAAAGAAGCCTCAGCCACAACCTGGTTAATGGGTTAGATTTGTACGAATGCTTTCGCGAGATACTTTGTAACCCTCTTTAAGCAGTGCCAACTACTCGGAATATGGGCGGCACATGTTCCTGCGGAGCCTTCATGCCTCCCCTGGCCAGACCACGGCTCAAACGAAAAGTCATGATGAATGAGGCATAACTTCCTTTTGAGCTCCGTGTTCGATATCATCTTGCGTCCCCATTCCAGATCGTTTCGGCAGCTGTGGGGAGTACTTAAGTACTGAAACCTCCATGTATAATTTATTTACATTGTATGGCCTCCCCGAAACCCACTCGCTCCCAAAGTTAGGCGAACCAGTCGACTCACCTTGAGGTGAGCAGGCCACCGGGACCTGTTCACGAATCCTTTGACCCACGGACAGAGTTTGAAAGGATTTGAACATCGTAACCCCCCTTTTCCGACTCCGAAGAAGACTTGCCGCCCTTGAAAGCCAGACGCGGATGACGTCCCCAGCCCGACGGGCTACTTTCTCTCCCGTTTCTCCCTCGACGACCGTGGCGGTTGCATCATCCTCGAGGAACACGTATTTGGCCTCGCACCATGTATTGCGGATTCAATATATTCTAATATGACCTCCCCTTTCAGACCAAAAGCGAAGTACGTATGCTTGTTGCCCTTGTAATACTTCTGCGAGATGGAGGATAAAACCACCCGAAGAAACTATTTTTTGCCTCTCCCCCCCCCCCCCCCCCCCCCCCCCCCCCCCCCCCTCCTTTTTTTCCCCCCCCCCCCCCCCCCCCCCCCCCTCCCCCCTGAGGGCTTGACTGACCTTCACGGTAGGGTCGAAGCCACCGTTCTATCATTTGTGATCGGGCTCCTGACACCGACGACTGACAGCCTCATTTGCACTTGCTTATCAGAAAACTCTGCAGAATGCAGCGAATCCACCGTTACGTCCGTGACGTCACGCGCCGCAATCGTATCCGACGAATCTCGGCTCGTCACGTGGCTCATGTTAAACCGTTTCCTCTATTTCACAACGGCTTCGTCAATTTCCGCGTCGACTCGGTGGGGATTTGCATCGAAAGAGTTCGTGGGGAGCCCAAAGTCGACCCGAATCGCGTTCGTATGGCGAATGACTCATTCCCTTTCGGTTTTGCAATCGCCGACACTTCATTGGTGATTCGACGCGCATGGGAGCCGTGACTCATTCTGGGAATGCCTGGCTTCTTCGAGCGAAAGCGAGTCCGAGTCGGTGTCGCTTAGTCAAATGGAGTCCGTGGTTCTGAGGAACTATTTTTTTAAATATACAATTGAAAACGCCTTTGTTCCGTAGACACTCCACCGACCAGAGAGGATTGTCCTCCGCTGCAGGGTGTTCGCTGAAATTCAAGGAATCCGCACGAGCAGGTGTGTGTGTTCCTCCGCGGCCCGTCGCATTCAATGATTTTCTCGTCGAGAACGACCGGCTTCGCCCAGGTTGAGGCCCCACAGACGCTCGTAAAGTTTCCTAATCGTTTTTCTTCCCTGGCCCCATCCTCGACCATATTATAACTCGGAGGAATTTCAAATCGAAACGATCCGAGATGCGTCGAGAAGCAGCCGTTGGCCTATGAGAACCGGCACCGCGCCGCATTCTCAGAGCACTCACCTCGACAACCCATGAGAGCGAACTGGCGGGGATTCCCAAGGGCGCATGCGCACGCACAGACGCAGTGATTCGAAGGGGGGTATGCAGCTGGTTTTAAGAGCTGTTTTCAGCTGGAAAATTTTCAGTTGGAATTTTATAAAGAGGACCCTACAACTGGAATGTAGCTAAATTTACAGTTAAAAATCAGCTGTTCCTGTAGATGGATCTCCGACAAAAATAGTCAACAAAAAGATTCTCATTCAGTTAGTGATATAGCAATCAGGAACAAATCTGGAGATTACTTTCCAGCTGTTACCCAGTTGGAACGGGTCCGAATTTCCAGCTGGAGTCCAGCTGGAAATTATAGCTGTTTCCAGCCGGGATTTTAAACTGGGCGGTGCTGCAGAGAATCAGGGTCAGTGAGAAAAGCTAGTGTCATCAATTTCAAAAGTTATCTAACGCACTTACGGACCTCATTTGAATATCGAGTAAATAATACAAACATGTACATAAACGAGCGGATCCACGAGGATGAGGATTCCGTTCAATACTACGGATACCTCGCTCACTGTTTTTATTTTCGAGAGGAAAGCCTGCAGGCAGAAACCCAAACGAAAGCCAACAGCTCAAGCTTGGAGATATGAGCCATGCCTTCTCAACAGACAAAACTGGCAGTTCTTGGGAATGTCAGCTTAGCATGCGACTCGTCCTACAAGCAATTTATGAGGACAGGGACGCGTCTGGAATATTCGTTTTTTTGGCTCACGTCTCATGATTTTGGTTTATGTCTCATGGTTTTAGTTTATGTCTCATGATTTTGGTTTGGACTCCCGCCAGAGCAGGTTTTTGTGGCTTAGTAGTAATAGACTCATATTTTAGTTCACGGAAATCCCAGGAAAAAAAAGAGGTACTTCTCAATGACCTGGACTCGATTGGCTCGAACAGTCGGAGATGATCGTAACGAAACAACTCCAAATATCAAAGACGATCGGCGGCATGAGAGGCAAAGAAGTACTGGACGAGAGAGGGTCACCAGGTCTTAAGTTCACCAGGTCCACGCTCAAACCCCATTTAAGTTTATTATGGCTTCCATTCCCAGGGCCCTTGTGAAATCATACCATTAAGCGAAACGGATCTGTTGCATGTCACAAAAAAAAGAAAGCGGAAGGAGACTAAACAGACGTCGGTTCGCTCTATTCCTAAATCAACTGCGAGAGACATCTGGCGGGACCAGAGCGGAATCAGAACAGACATTCTGCATTCTCACTATTTTCTCATTTCCAGCTGAAAATGAAGTTTAGCTCTCGCATCCTTCGGTAAAAAAAAAATTATATATAATAAAATAAATATAAAAAAACAGGAATAATAAGAAATTCCAACTGGCCTCGTGCTAGTTTCATTGGATCCACTAAATGGTCTCTATTGGAGCACTCATTTGGTATGTTTCCAATGGGAATCTCGTGTTTCTAATTGGAATTAGTCCAATTGGTCCAATTGGATGCAGGCCAGTTCCTGGTCCGGTTGGAGAAATTCACACGGGTCCAACAGGCGTGGATTTCTGCTCAAATCGAAGTTAAGAGTCAGGAATATTTTCAAACATCTTGAAGTCCAAGGCAGAGGACAGTCAAAATCGCATCCAAAACGAAAGGAAATGCATTGTTTTGTTACAAAATGAAATTTTCTTGCGATTATTTTCTTGACATCATTATTTTTTTTATGTCGGTGTGCACCAACGACTTTTGAGCGTTTGCTCCGATGTAAAATATTCCAACAAACAGTAATAAGCATTGATTGGTCGAATTGGTCAATCACATCAATTTGGCACATATTGGCATCAAATGATGCCAAAATGTGCCGAACGGAGATCCAATTTCGGTGCCAATATTGTGCCCAGCCCTAGAACGACCGACAAGAGTCGAATAGTGCAGAAAAATATTTTACGAATGTTT